TTACTACTAGTAAGGCACTTGTTACTAGAAGCGATGCACTTGTTTCTAGTAGCTTCTTGTTACTAGTATAGTGATGCCCAAAAAGGTGTCCAGATGGAGCTTTAGCGATTCTTGCAGTTTGTGCAGCAATACATGCTTGTCAGGAGCAGAGGCCCCTTTGGACATTGTCAAGGGCTTGCTGGATGCCACGGAGCGCAGATTGATAGCTATGGCAGATTGTGCTACTACGGTGGGTTGAGTCAACTAACACCATTGATTCAGGGCATTTCAGGGCTTCGTTTTTCAGCTACAAGTGCAAAAGAATGGCGGAGTGGCAAACCCTCTTGCCACACGCGCAGACAAAGCTATCCTATCCATGCCTAAGCTCAGGAGAATGCCAAAGCTTGCTTGGAGGCGGGTGATGCTGCCAAACTGTAATCTGACTTAATTATATTAGTATAGTCCAATCAAAGGAAATGAATGAATCCAGCCGACACTGACACTGATTGTTGTAGCAGAATTTAGCTTTCGTTTGCTTGTAAATCAACGGACATCCTTTTTTGCCTTCTGAATATGTCTCAAAAGCCTTGTTTGCTATTCTTCGAGCGCTTTGCTGCTCAGGTGTTGAAGTCTTTTGGGGCGAAGGAGTACAGCGAATTGGCAGCCTGAACAATGCAGCCAACTGTACTGATCATAGAAGCGATGGCCTCCAACCTAAGAGCGATGGCCTCCAACTTAAGAGCGATGGCCTCCAACCTAGTCTCCTAGTGTTGGACATCAACGTTTAGCAATACAGCCGCTTTCTGTGCCTTCCCGTAGCTCGGAGGTGATTCGGAAGTGCAACCTTAGCGCCTTCACAGCTGCAGATGCTACGAGTGCATTCGTAAGAATCCAGACCAGCACAAGACAAGCATCAGTAATACTATGTATACAATACTCAAATCATGGTCATTGAGCCTGAGCTTTTGCAGCTGTTCTTTAATGTCCTCCACGAAGCAGGGATCTGCAGACAAGTTGCAGAGTGTGTCCTTTTGCTTTGATTTTGCCCTGGTCATCACCTGCCCTCTCGTGATATAACTGAAGCTGCCTGCTGTCTCGATTGAGTCTGTGGATCCCTGGAACTCGTGCCGGCCAGCGCAAAGTGCCCGTGGCCTCATTATTCAAATTGGAGTTACTGGACTCCTGTTTGGCACACTTTGGGGACTAAACTGACTAAACGATAGAGTCTCATAAAGTCCGTCACCTCAATGGCCAAGCAAAGTCTCCAGCCCCTCCAACCATCAGGCTGAGCACCCAAGCAGGTGCCTGAGCGGAAAAGAACCTGGCGGAGTTGACATGCTGAGTCTTCGATGAATTTGTGTGAAGACACTGGCAATTTAAGATCAAGTCTGGAGTCTGGAACACTACTAAGCTTTGGATCGTTTGTGTGTAGTACATTCAAAGCTTTGGATCGTTTGCAAGCCGCTCACCAGATTTGATCATCCCCTTGCGCCGAGCTCAGGTGCCTGCCCCTTTTCGCCAGTCGAGCCTTGACTCAATGATCTGGTCGGTAGTTGGTGTTATGTCCCTGATCAGTTGGTTCGACTGCGCCACTGCTGACAGATGCCTCTACCATCCTGAGAGATGCTTCCACTCTGGAAATGGTTGATGACAGAGAGTGTTTCTGCTTTCCCACGAGCAGGCGTTTTAATTGCATGCGTCTCACAGGGCAACTGGCTCCAAAGGTGTATGGAGATTTTTGCCAAAGGAACCAATCAACAACGAGTATCAAAGCGTTCTGCAAGTAAGCAAAGACCACAAGCTGCTTTGCCTTTAGATTTCCTTTATGCATTAGTAGCACGAAGTAGAGCAACGGCAACACCTCAACGACCTCAGTTGGTTATCGATGGTGAAGAGTCGCTTTATCCATCTCTTGGCCTTTGTCTTTCTTGGGCCATGGCCCTTACAGGCACCTCGGCAAAGTGTTGCTGTAGAGATTTTTGGATGCTCAACACTGGAAAGGAGTAGATTGAACTGCGTCAACTCAGTGAGCACCGTACAGTAATTCTTGAGAAGGTCGTCGAAACATATTTTCAAGAGTTTACAAGTAGTATTAAGTTATTAAGTATCACAGCCTCTTGCGCCGGAAGCACTGTAAAATCTGAAGAACATGGGGTCCCAAATGTGTTCTTCGTTCCCAACTCGGTTTTGGGAGCATCCAACAAGGTCGCACAGCTAGCTAGCTGACTACAGACTAGTGACTAGTATTGACTAGTGGTAATTTAGTTTCCTTTGGAGGTCTTGGTTCGTTGGCAGCAAGTTCGACATCGTTGCTTAGAGTCCGTGGATTTCCAGCTCCGCATGGTGCCCCAGCTGGGCAACGACAGCTGCGTTGGCGGGGTCTGACCGGTGCATTTTATTAGAGAGAGATGAGATATATAGAATGAAACAGAAGAGTGAATAAGAAGCTCTGCACACGTCATAAACTTGATCACTTCTTGGAAGCGACAAATGCTGACAAAAGATGTTGCCGAGGTGCTGGTGCCACCGTCATACTTGTCGGTGTTTCGGGCTCTGGCAAAAGTACGTGCGCACCTTGGGGATCTCTTGAGGGGGAAAAAACAACTCTTGGCTCGCACTCCTTGGAAGGGTTGAAATGACAGAACCAAGTTCCTGATTCTTGTCTAATCATTTTGGAACATTCACGCACCTGTCACCAAGAACAAAGAGCATTTTAGGCTTGTCGAGCAAAAGGACAACTTCAACTGGCACCAATTTCAGCAGGCTAGCAAGTGTTCAGCAAGTGGGAGAGTTCTCGCAATGCTATGGTACCTACCCTGTTGTTTTCAGACGAGACATAAACTCCTGGCACCCCATGCTCTTTGCGTGATTCTCAGAGATGCCAACTAATCGAAACTATGGTGATGCGGCGCAAGCCGCGATGAACTTTGCCACAAAGTCAGGATCCCAGAGCATTGCTCCTCTGTTGCCTACTCGAGAGTTACGTGACCGAATTGAAAAGGGAGAGAATGTGGTTTTGGTGGATGTCCGTGGGAGTGAAGAACAAGCTGTCTCAATGATTCCTGGTGCTGTGACAAAGGAATATTTTGAGTCTGACCTTCTGCCAAAGCTTCTCGCAAGTGACCCCTCTGACAAGGCACCACTGGTGGTGCCTTACTGCACAGTTGGCTTTCGTTCTGGAGTGTATGCGAAAGAGCTGATTGAGCGGAAAGGGCTGAGGAATGTGCGCAATGGTGAGGGTGTCATCATGTGGACATTTGACGGAAACGGCCTCGTGCAGCCGGGTGGCCCAGGTTCGACCGTTGCCCAGGCTTTGGGACGGTCGGCCGAAGCTGAGCTTGCCCAGACTGCCTGGCCGTCTGTAACTCGGGTACATGTCTTTGGAAAGCCATGGGACATGGCTGCAGAAGGCTACACGACTGAGTACTTCTCTAATACAGGTGGTGCTTGGCGCTTTGTCAAACAGAAGTGCTACAAAGCTGGCCCAACATTTCTGCCATGGTTCACTGTCTTTCTCCTCTTCTACCTGTTCTTTACCCCAGCCTGTGGAGTCATGTACAGCTGTGGCTGTCGTTTGGCGCTCTCAAAGTTTGGACAGGTGGAGACATGCAATATCTACTGGCCCGATCAGCCACCAGAGCACAAATGCCCGTGGTGCACTTGTCAAGGCATTGCTTGCATTTTTGTAGCCAGCGATGCAAAAGCATTTCGCGGTGTTTTGTTGTTGGACATGCTGCCGGATGGCTTTATTGTGACTCTGGTGACCGTGCTTGTGCTCTACTTCACCTTTAAGGCAGTGGACCGATTTCTGCGACGCAGAAATTGCGGGGATTGTGCAATTGCAGCGGTGAAGACGGCAACAGCAATCTCATGGTTTGTTCTATATTGTCTAGCATTTGGCGCTCTTTTCTTTGCTGGCAGCGCAAATTATCCATACTTTTTAGGTTATTCAAGGCTTGTCTAAATTCTTTTGAGTAGGCCTTTCTGTTCAGGGAGCAATCAGGTTCTGAGGCTAGTCTGTGCGTCACTGCAAAGCAGCCTGGCTCGCGCGGAGCAGCTTCTCAACTGGATTCTGGAAGCCGTGGGTTGCCATAGTAGCTTCAAGCTTCCCCAGTCTTGCTAAGAGCGAAGGCGCACAAAGATCTGGAGAAAAGGCGTGCTGACCAACTGTGCACAGCAAACATTAGTCCTCTCAGATCCTTTAAGAGCCAATTGCTGTAGAGAGGAACTCCAAGTCTCGCACAAGCAGAATATGAGTTCAATATGTGGAAACATCATTTTCAGGCTCCTACAGCTTTTAGCAGAGGGTACTCCGGAAGAGGCTGTGGGCCTGACATGTTTGCTCCATCACCTTGGTGAGGCCTCGTAGGTGGCCGATCGTTCGTTTTGCGCTTGTCTTGTGTCTGGGGATAGGATGTCCATGCGCCAGGCAGAGTTCTACTTCGATCCGTGTTTGCTGCGACCCATGGAAGTTGTGACCCCAAATGCACACTTGGTGGTGGCCGACATTGCGAAAGCACATTGCTAGTTGAGCAGCAATGAGCAATTTCCTTTTTCAACTCACTCCAGTCTGACTTCGTTGCATGCCGTTGAGTCAGTCGACTGTGCAGCTTCACCGAGGTGATCGACCCTGATGCCTTGCGTGCCACAGTGGTGAAGCCCAGTCGAGTGGACTAGGAGCTTCTTGTTCCTAGTCGTAGCGATGCCAGGAGCCCCTAGTAGCGTCCTTGCACCTAGTAGTAAGGCCAGGAGCCCCTAGTAGCTTCTTGACTGGATCTGCATGTGGGTCACTGCCCTTGTGTTGTTGCTCTTATCGTCTTGTGTTTGTAGCTGATCATTTCACAGCAAGTACTTTTAGATGGCCAGGGACAAAATTGTACTGTAGGTTCCTGTCGCACATGATCAATGATCGTCCACTTTGCAAAACTGTACCCTCTCTTGCCTAGATTGATAGTGATTGATTTCAAGCAAGGGCACAAGCCAACATGCTCAAGACCTTGACAGATACACTATATATCACATTATATCACTATATATAATATATACAATTTCAATTTCAATTCAAATCCCTTCTCAACTTTTTAACCAACCGTCCACAAGCATTTGAAGGCACTCGTGTGACGTGTAACATGTACATCGATGATGTTTGAGGTGGCGAGGGAAAGAGACCTGCAGCAACTGGCGCAGTGGCACCTTGGGCAAAGATTTCATCGACGCAGCTCTAATTTTCCTTTTGTGGACGGGCTTGGGGTTTATACTCAGTTTGTGCCCTGGCCAAGTGGCAGATTTTTTGTTTGAATCAGTTCCTTTCCATTCCATGATGAACCTCTCAAAGGGACCTGATGAGAAGTAATTTGCAGAGTTTGTAATTGTCCATTCAGTCAGTTTTCTTGTCATGAGTGCACCTGCTATGTGTTTCAGGGGCGTGGAATCCTCTCCCAGATCTGCCCGATCCGTGAAATGGAAGGTCGGAACGAGTAGGGCCGAGTAGGGCGGGCAAACACCAAACCAGGAAGAAACATAACAAACACCAGTAGGGCTGAGTAGGGCCTTGCAAAGAGGTTTTGGGCTCTGTGGAGCATCTAGTGAAGACCTAGTAGGTTGGAGGCCATTGCTAGTGGGTTGGAGGTGATCGCTATTAGGTTGGAGGCTTTTGGGCGTGGGTCTCCTCAACCTGAAATTTGCTTCAGACATTGACAGCGGGTCCTCGCCATGAGGCTCGGTGCGCTCGGGCTTTGCATAGACCTTAGCCTTCCCTAGTGACACGTCATAACTATATTGCGAGGTAGTTCTTCTTGTAGCCTGCAGGAGATTTTGAGAGTCTTGTTCTCGCTTCACTTTACAAGATGTCATAGACAAGCTCTTGGAATGCACAGGTCCAGACATCCTGGACTTTTGCTTCTGGATGAGGCTAGGATATGCTAGGATAATCTAGGATATGCTAGGATCTACTACTACTACTACTACTACTACTACTACTACTACTACTACTACTGTGTAGTTTCTTGCTCGAACCTGCATTTTGGAAGGATCCTGTTCTGATATTATCTTTGTTTCGACTTTGTCTCATCAATGCCTGATGTAGCAACATCCTGAATACAAATGCCGCTGTCACTTTCAACATCGAACTGGCGAGTGCAAGACTTGCCACATCCACCCATCCCAGGGGCTTGTTTCAGCTAACGGGACTGGGTGGAGTCTCGGAGGGTGGGGGGGTCTAATGACGTTCGGTTGGATATACTTCGGGGGCCGGGGTGTTTGCTTTTGCTTCCTACTAACCCCCGTCACGTCTCAGCTCTTATGTACATGACATGCATGACTGACGTATTTGGCTCAAGCCTGGTAAAGCAACCGCTCTCGAGACAGTGTTCTTTCCCCGGGAGCTCCAAGATGATGAGAACGGAGAAGAAGGTTTCATACCTTTAGATGGTGGCGCCAGGTGCTGTTCCACCGACAGAGTCCAAAAAGTTGATCTTCGACATGGACAGCTTCTGACTGGTGTGCAGCCAAATGAGGCAGATGCTCTGTGTTGAACTTAAGATTTGTCACAAGAGTGTGTCTCACAAGGACATGCAGTTGTTAAAGAAGTTGCGAGGTCGTGTGTCGAGCGGTTCTCGATTGACTGGGGCCCAGGTATGCGACCGAATGTGGCGTGACCTCAAGCTGTTCATCGAGGGAGCTGGCTTGTAAAGATGGCTAGAAAAATTTGAACGAGACCTGATCTATGTATATGCCTTCCAGTGGCGTCGCATCCACAGAGGTTCACAGTGGAAGGACGCCGGAGCGTTGTCGAAGAAAGATTGAAAATAGCAGCGCTGCAGACCCAAGCAAAAAAACGTAAAGCAGTGCCGGACTGGTAGAACACCACAAATTTTGGACGTGCGTCAAGACAGAAAGCGCAGAAGCAGTGAGAAGCCACAGGTGAAGCATTTCAAGACTCATGTCGAACGCACAGAAAAAGCGGTTGTACCGTTACAGGTCCCAATACCTTGATTGATGGCGATCCGGAGTGAACGACGGCTCTTTAGCGAGCTTCGGGCGCTTCACAAAAAAACGTCGCCAAGTTGAAGCAGCAGCTTGTAGCTTTGCCGACTCTTCTAGGGTCTGGCTGCAGCCTGACCGAACTGGTGGGCATTCCTTGAGTCCTTAAGTTTTGTGGGTGGCACCAAAATTGGTTTGATATGGTTTGATACATGGTTAAAATTGCTCAGTTTGAATCCTACACAGTAACCGCATCCGCACTTCGCAAAGTCTCAAGTGTCCTGAGGACCATGTACGGTGAACGCTCGCTTGATCCGTGACGCTCGCTGATATCCGTGTACACTTTGAAAGGGAACGCGGATCCATGAGTCCAGAATGCGCCGCCATATCGAACCATTTTGTTGAAAGAGGGTGCATGGCTGTGGATATGACACTTTCTTCCCCAGTGGTGCAGGTGCTCGACCTCATGCCGAGGCATTGGTTTTTCGATCACGGATTGGTTTACAGATGTCAAAAGACCCACTGACTCGTAAGGCTCGTAAAAAAGTTGCCAGTTGCCTCCGCATGTTGAACCCTGTTGTAGGCCTTTGCGGCTACGCTTCGCAGCGGACATGCACACAGCAGCCGGAATCTTGGTTCAACAAAGCAAAGGTTCTGATCCACAAACTTCAGACTGCCAACTTCAACACTTGACAAATGTTTTCCGAGCCTGGTCAAATCCAATGTTGTCGTCCTGACAGGCTAGGAAGTCTAACTTCGCCACGGTGTCAGCCACTCACTGTTTCTTGACTGCAAAGTTTGGGTTTGTGCGGTCAGTTGAGAGCCCACTACCTGTGCAACACGAGCAAACCAACTTCTTTGATGAATTGCTCAAAGACCTTTGATACTGTACCTTGGCCTCTCTCTGGTGCTCTTGTCAAACTCCACTGGCAAGATCCATTGCAATTAGTCAGTTTACGGTGTTTATCTCAACAATATATACAATGGGTCCAATAGGTCATTGAGTCATTGCGTCAAACATATTCAAGAGTTTGTTAGGACTGTGGAGGAGGGACATTGACGATTAAGGTTTGGCGGCTGATGTGAGCTGGCTTCGGGACTCTTGTGATGAGGCGCGAGGACTGCGAGGATGCACTTCGGAGTGTGCTTGAAGGTATGGGTTTAACATGGCTTAGTGATTGACCTGCCAGGGGCTGAACGTGGATGGCAATTAGAAATGCATCAAGACTTTAAGACCCATGTTGGGTGATGGTGACGGTTGCACCGTCATGAAGCAGCTTGGAGGTTTGGATTCTTGAGCAACGCCGATTCCGACGTCTCAGCCGGGGATCCGGTGCAGATGTGCCGTCTCCAAATCTGTTGAACCATGACTTGCGAAAGGTTGGTGTTAGTAAGGAATGTGGGGGTTCTCAATAGTATATAGTAAACAGATGTTGTAAACAACACTTAAGTCAGAATGACGCCTGGGAGTTAGAGTGTGCGAACTGAGATTTGGTCGCCTTCAGTGTCAGAGTTCTTCACACATCCTGTAGTAGCCAATGGGCGGCCCCAACGCCGCAGGATTAGAGTAAGATGTTTAGGAGCTGTGATCAGGCAGATGCTGTGATTCCGAGCGACTCCAAGGCCCGCAGAAGAGCAATGAATTCGAGGAGATCAAGCGCTATGCGGCCCTCCGCAGCCGTGATCCTTACATGATTTACAGGCAGATAGAATGAAGATGTGAGCAATCGCCAAAGCATGCGATGACCAATCTGGTAAAGAGCTGTCGTGAATTTCAGGAATTTGGCTAGAACCTGCAACCAGGATAGGCCCACCTCAACAGAAACAACCGTATCCCCACATGTTGAGCTACGTTGAGATTGTGGCTGGAGCCTGAAAAAGCGATAGGCCCCCCTCAAGAGCGATAACCTTGCTGAATCAGGTCCTCTTCTTGACAGGACCTTTTGGCAGACGCTCATGTGATTAGGAACTATATAGCCGGGCTTCAGACAGCTTTGGTCATGTCCAGTCTTTTCACTATCTGGCATAGAGCATTCACTTGGAATTTCTGCCAGGTATGGGAAGTGTGAATTCTTGAGCTAAGTCAGGAACTCGAAGTCCTGTTTTTTTGCATACTTTTGCATCTTTCGCTATGAAGACCACTCGCAATGAAAGAGAGATAAAGAGAG